CACTCAGTTTGGGGTCCCACCACCCCTTTATCCCCTCTGACCCCCCCTTTTCCCACCGACCGCCCCCTTCCCACCCCCTGCTCACCCCAGAGCTCCTCGCCCGCAGCCAGGGGGGCTCCCAGCACCACCAGTGCCCAGAGAAGTCCCCCAGAAAAGGGGTTGGGTGGGGTCCTGGGTGGGCTTTGAGTATGTCTGGGAGGTCCTTGAGGGGCTGTGTGGAGGTTTTGGGGAAGTGCCCAGCACCTTTTGGGGTGAGCTGGATGCCTATTGAGAGGCAGGTGCCCTCCCAAAGTGGGTTGACATGGGGGGACACCTAGGGGTCCCCATTCCCAATCCATCCCGGGGCCGGTTTTACCCCCCACAAATTTGTCTCCACCCCACGGTGACCCTCCCAGCCCCTCCCCCACTGCCCCCCAAATCCGGGACTGGGGAGAACTGGGAAGTTTTCCTGGGATCACTGGGAGCAGCCAGGCGGAGGCAGAGTGCCAGCAGGGGAGGGGGGGACACACGACCCCCCCCAAAATCCTCGCAGGGACGGGGGGGGGGGTCCAGGCTGGGCCCGAGGCCCCGGGGAGGGGCTGCGGCCGCCGGCGGCTCAGGAGCTCTGTGGGGAGAGAAAAGGGGGTGACACCGGGGTGGGGGGTCCCCGGAGGGCACAGACGCTCTGGGGGGACACACGACCCCCTGGGACCCCCCTCACCTTCTGGTGCAGGTAGAAGCCGAGCCCCAGCGCCAGGGAGACGAAGCCCAAGAGGAAGCCCCCGGCCCCTCCTTGGCAGCAATTCCTCAGGCTGATGGAGCCCAGCAGGGCCGGGGCCGCCGGCGGTGTCCGATCCCGGCAGGAAGCAGGGAGGGCCTGGTGGGGTCTGACAGAAATAAATCAAGACAGTGAATCCGAAAAATCGGTCCGAGAAACTGCTCAGAGACTTTTTTTATCTTTAAGAAGCAAGGTATTTGTTTATTCAACGTTGGGAGCAAGCCAGCTCGCGCTGGACAAACTTGCTCAAAGGCTTCACACAAAATCAGCATTTTTATACAATCTTCAGATGTGATTAAACGCATATTCAAGTGATTACAACATCTATCTATGCATATTAATAATAGGCGGAGTACAGGTGGAGCTCAGGCGGGGCTTGGGGCGGTGCTTCTCTTGGTCCTCAATTTTGGTGGGTCTGGGGGCTTAAACTCATCTTCCTCAGCTTGACCCTTCTTCTTTTCCATTGTTCCTGACCCGCTCACTGAAGCTTGGAAGAAGCCCTGGCTCCAGACCTATTTCTCCTATTCAAATGTCTACCTGATCCTGTTATATTTCTAATTTATTGCTTCTAGGCCTATTACATGTTCTCGTACTATTCTCTGAAGCTTTGGTCCAGTAAGTAGAACAGAACGAGCACAGATCGTTTTGGATGTTGGTAACTTGTTTGCAGGCCCAAATTTCTTAGTTAACTCTTTTGGGCCTGGCCTCCTGTTTCATTCCCCCCTTTTTGTTTAGAATTTATGAATTCTTTCTCAAGTTCTAATGGATTTTGATAGGTATTCATCACAGCCCACATTATCTGCATCCTTCTAACCATGACGCTTGATTTGTACTATAGCCAAACAATTAGGACCAATCATGGTAGCTCCTAATACCAATATTGGATGTATCAAATAGTGAAACACTTGTGATGCTGTAGGGAAGTATCCTGTAAAGATGTCCCACCAGTGGTGCTCTCCCACTTTTTCTACTTTGGTTAGAACAGTTTTTATGCTCTCAGTCTCATGTTCTACTTGCCAGAGCATTCATTTAGTCGTTCTGTTTACTTCTTGGACCAGTTTTTTCTATATCAGGATGTTTAAGCATTGCTTTAAAAAGATTAATGTTCATTCCTATCTGCAATTTCGGCACATTGTGATATATTGTATAATCACCTTCAATCTGTTGTCTAGTAGTCACTAGAATGATATAATCAAAGTCACAGCCTATTATTTTAGTAAAACAAAAAATTAGTACCACTCAGTACTTCATGACAAGTATCTATGATAAAATGAACACAGAAGATTCTAACACATGCACATCCATTTCCAACATAATAGACTTGTGATTGGGTTTTAGCATGGGGAAGCATTTCAAAGGTACACACATTATCTTCAGTATCTAAGCATAAATCTTCATTTTCTACTACAGCATTTTCACAGATATATCCTAATTGTCCTTTAGGAGTACATGCCTCAGGACTGACTGACTGCCACTTTTTCTTGGTGTGATCATAACTTGCCCAAACATTATGGTCTATGGGTCTGACAATTACGTTTTGGTGGATGGCCCCTAATGTCAGGATAGGAAAGATGGTCTTTTCTTTGGCTGCACTGATAGTGAGTACATAAGTTTCAATTTGTTCATGTTGAGGATTGTGAGTGAAGTTCCCTAACTGCCACCACGCTTGGTAATTTTTCTCAAACTGTGTAGTAGAACTGTTTCTAGCTATAATTTCTCTTACCTCCTGTAGTAATATTCCTGAAGTTCCTTCCCTTAATATTCCTGCAGCTACAGATTGCACCCACTGTTGAGTTTGGAGACATGGTATTGCAAGTGCAAATCTTTTATGGATGACACCAGCATAGTCAATAATCTTGGTGAAATCCTTTGCAGTGTGGTTAGCTACTAATGTTAACAACTTGACTGCCAATGGTTGTGTTTCTGCCAAAGTGAGCAAAGATGATCTTAAAGGGACTTTGAGTTTTCCTAGATCAGATGTGACAGCACTCAGTTTATTCACCAGTACTTCTTGATCTATGGTGTTTAATACACCTAATCCTGTACCAAACCATCCAGTTACATCCCTCTGAGTCCTGGTACGAGGGGATCTGGCCTCCATCCATGCATGCCAGCCTTTGAGGGTCAGTTGTATATAGGGTTGACAATCTTTTTGTATACTTGATATGTTTACTTGAAGGTTTATTCGAACTCTCTTCAGTGAGTATGTGGGATCTAACAACAGCTTCTGCTCATTTGAGTGCCTAATTACATACGGTCCAGCAAAAGTTAAATTGTGGATGTTACCACAGGTTGGAGGAGTGGTGGTGGTGGTTGTAGTGGTGATGGTTGTGGTAGTGGGAGGGGGTTTAGTAGTCGGGATACTTGACGAAGCATTAATTATAAATCTCCTGGTTATATTTCCTTCGTCAAGTAACCACATACACAATCCAGAAACTGATTTGTTTAGAATAAAAGCGCGCCAACACTGATCAGAATCACATGCATGTCCACTAATTGCACTTCCAAAATCATACGGGTAGATGAGTCTTTCTTGTACTGTGTCTCGTACGGTGACCTCAGTTTTGGGTGACCAATCAATCCGTGAAGGTGGCTTATATACTCTACATCCAATTCAGGTTTGTTCTCCAATTTTTCCTATCAAAGTACTTGTAGTGTAAGAATAACCAGGGTGGTTCCAGTCATCTAGTACTCTCGGTCCCTGAAGGACTAGGACAGATGGATTATACTCATTCAGCTTGTTTGGATGAAGGGAAAGTTCTGGGTCTATAAAGAATTGTAGACCAGAACTCTCGTTCTAGGCTTGGGACCATAATGACTCTTGGGCAAGAATTTGATCAAACACCACTATACTTATCAGTCCAAAGATCAGCACTGAGGAGGCTTGACAGTAGATGATTCTTCTCCCGAGGTCCACGTCTCCTCCGGAACCCTCTTGACTCGAGAGCAGTGGATCCACGTGGGTTTCTCTTTCACCCGGATCGCTGTGCAGGTGTCATCAACACCTGGAAGGGTCCATCCCACTTCTCTCGCAGTGGATCTCCTGAAAGATTTCTAACATATACCCAGTCACCAGGGTTGAATGGATGTAACTTACAATCAGGCTGCTTGGGTTGATGTTCCAGCACTACTGTAGCATTTTTCTGTAATTGTTTCTTTACAGCCATAACATAATCATACACATACTGATTACCAATTTGATCTACAGCTTCACTGTTCACAGTCTGCATCATGTAGGGTCTGCCAAATAAGATCTCAAATGGGCTCAATTTCTCTTTCTATCTCGGCTTGACCCTTAATCTGATTAAGGCAATAGGTAAAGCTTGATACCAATGTAAATTCGTCTCTTGACATATTTTAGCAATTTGTTGTTTAATGAGATGATTCATTTTCTCTACTTGTCCACTTGCTTGGGGTCTGTAAGGCGTGTGCAATTGCCAATCAATTTTCAAAGCTTTACTTATTGCTTGTACCACCTCTGCACAAAAATATGAGTCCCTATCTGAAGAGATACTCTTAGGTACTCCAAATCTTGGTATAATTTCATTTAACAGGACTTTAACTACTTCTCTTGACTTATTTGTTCTACATGGGAACGCCTCTGGCCAACCAGAAAATGTATCAATCAAAACTAATAAATAACGGTACCCCCCTTTTCTTGGAAGTTCAGAAAAATCAATTTGCCAAATCTCACCAGGAAAGCTTCCTCTTTTTATTGCTCCTAGATTAATTTTAAGTTTAGTGTTTGGATTATTTTTCAGGTAGAGTTCACATCGAGATGTGACTTGCTTTATCGTAGTGAGCAAATTTGGTCCTGCTACTCTAGTTTTTAAGTGTTGATAAGAGTGGATCCACTCCCCAGTGAGTTTTATCATGTTCTGTTTTCACAAATTGCCATATTAATTTCTCTGGTAATACTAGTTGGCCTGTCTTTAATTGACCCCATCCATTTTGTAGCAGTTTACCTCCGTTTTTCTGTATCCACTGATGATCTGTTTCTTGATACTCTACCTGTTGATCTGTGTCTAATCCTTCTGGGACTAGAGCTGCTATTGGTTGTTCAGTACCTCTTGCAGCAGCTAGTTTGGCTTCTGCATTGGCTTTTCTGTTTCCTATCTCTGGAACGGTGTTACCTTTCAGGTGTCCCCTGCAATGCATTATAGCCACCTGTGATGGGAGTTGGACGGCTTCGAGCAACCGCAGGATCTCCTCTGCATGTTTTACAGCTTTTTCTTGCGTGGTCAACAGTCCTCTTTCCTTCCAGATCGCTCCACGGGCACGTACAACAGCAAAGGCATAATTAGAGTCAGTCCAAATGTTGATTCGCTTCCCTTTGCTAGTTCAAGAGCTCGGGTAAGAGCTATCAGTTCTGCTTTCTGAGCTGAGGTTCCTGCAGGTAAGGGGTTGGATTCGATTACCTGTTCTGTTGCAGTTCCTGCATAACCAGCCATCCTTGTGCCTTGTTTCACGAAACTGCTACCATCCGAGAACCAGTCGTCTGCATCCTGGAGGGGTTCTTCTTTGAGGTCTGGGCGACTGGAGTACACTGCTTCAATAGTCTCCAAGCAGTCGTGTACAACAGGTTCTGCTGGGGCTTTTCCTTCTAGGAATGAAGCTGGGTTGACAATGTTAGTCACCTGAATGGTCACATCATCTGATTCAGCTAGGATTACCTGATACTTCAGGAACCGAGAAGGTGACAGCCAATGGTTCCCCTTCTGTTCTAGCACTGCAGACACAGTATGGGACACTAACACAGTCATTTTCTGTCCCATAGGAAGCTTTCTGGCTTCTTCTATGTTTACAACCACTGCTGCAACTGCCCTTAGACAGGTAGGCCATCCTTTGCTCACCTCATCCAGTTGTTTGGAGAAGTAGGCCACTGCTCTTTTGTGTGGTCCCAGTTGTTGAGCCAAGACCCCTAAAGCCATTCCTTGACGCTCGTGCGAGAACAACCAGAAGGGCTTCGTCACATCGGGCAAACCCAACGCCGGAGCCCTCATGAGTTCTCGCTTCAGTCTCTTGAAGGCTTTGTCTGCTTCAGGGGTCCAGGTTAAGTGATCTTTGTTCACTTTCAGCAGATCATACAAAGGTTTTGCAATTATCCCATACTGATATATCCACAAGCGACACCAACCTGTCATTCCCAGCAAGGCTCGGAGGCTCCTCACCGTCTCTGGTCTGGGTGTCTGGCAGATGGTTTCTTTCCTCGCCGTCCCCAGGGATCGTTGTCCTCCCGATACTTCATATCCCAGGTACACGACTTTCTCCTGGACCAGCTGGGCTTTCTGTTGAGAGACTCGATAACCACTTAAACCCAAAAAGTTTAAGAGAGATATTGTCCACTGGATACAGTCCTCCTGTGTTTCTGTTGCTATCAGGAGATCATCCACATATTGCAGAAGAACGCCTTCTCCCGCTGGCTGTTGCCATAATTCCAGCTCTCTGGCTGGTTCATTACCAAAAAGTGTGGGGCTGTTCTTAAAACCTTGAGGCAAGACCATCCATGTGATTTGCATCTTTCTCCCTTTGTTAACAGACTCCCATTCGAAGGCAAAAATCTTTTGACTTTCCTGTGCTAGGGGTAGACAGAAAAAGGCATCTTTTAGATCCAACACTGTAAACCAAATCAGACTGTCCCTTAATTTAGTCAAAAGTGTATAAGGGTTTGCTACAGCAGGATGTATAGTTTTGGTTATTTGATTTACTGCTCTCAGATCTTGTACTAACCTGTAGGTTCCATTCGGTTTCTTCACTGGAAGAATTGGAGTGTTAAAGTCTGATTCACACTCGATCAACAGTCCTAATTTCAAAAAGTTTTCAATTATTGGCTCAATTCCTTTTCTGTCCTCTAGCCTCAGTGGATATTGTTTCTTTGCTACTGGCTTAGCTCCTGGTTGTAGTTCTATCTGAATAGGAGTTGCCCATTTTGACTTTCCTGGGGTGTCAGTGGCCCATACCAGGGGCTACACTTGATCCCTAATTTGATCAATATCTTGGTTGTTTGGCTTTGGTTCCATGCAGCTCATAGCTAAACTCAGAGCTGCCAGCAATTGTTCTTCTTTTACTCTGAATTCAATTTTTTCCTTGCTTAAATTTTATTACAGCTCCCAAATTTTCTAATAAATCTCTACCCAATAAGGGTTTAGGTGAGCTTGGTAAATACAGAAACTGATGCAATCCCATTTGTTTCCCGATTTTAAACTTTAGAGGTTTTAAAAAGAAAGCTTTTTCTGATTGGCCAGTGGCACCAATAACCTGTACATAATCATCAGTTTTAAGTATCAATTCCTGATTTAAAACCGAAAATGTTGCTCCAGTGTCGATCCAAAAATCCAGTTTTTCTTCTTCTTCCCCCGGCCGAATTGTAACCAGCGGGTCTGCCAGGGAAAAACCAGCCGGTCCCCTCAATCACTATCTTGATGGGCTATGACAGCCCCCCCGAATTTCTATTTGCCCCAGTGGGACACTCTCTTTTCCAGTGTCCCTCCTTTTTACAATAAGCACGTTGATTTTGACTTATCTCTGTTTGCCTAAAGGGTGAACCTCCCCTTCCCCGTGTTGCTTGTCCCCGGCCACGACCCCTGTAATATCGTCCAGCTGTTACCGGGTTCTGTGTTAAAGCCACAATCACTGCTCTTGTAAGCCTTCTATCTTCCTTCTTTTCCCTGTTGTTATACACTTTCCAGGCTTCATTCATCAAAACCTCTAAATCTTTATTGGCAGGGTGATCTATTTTCTGCAATCTTTTTCTAATATCAGGATTACTTTGTCCCATCAATAACCCCACTAAATGTAGTTTACCTTTCTCAAAAATTTGATCTGCATCTCCTGTTAAAGCTCCCGTGGCAATCTGGTTTATCACCTCTCTTCTAGCTGGTTTTATGACCAGGTCTTTCTCTGTTTCTGTCAGTTCTGATAACATCAAGTCAATATCATTCCAGTCTATTTCTTGATTCTTTGCAATCAATTCAAATCTCTTAGCCACTTTCTCAGGATTTTCCCTGAAGCACTTAGCTTCCTCTCTCCAGCTGTTCAGATCACGAGCCAAAAAAGGTACTTTCCCTTTTGCCTGCGTGCCTGTCGGTGCTATCACCTGACGCAGAGGCACTAACATATGACCAGTCCCTGCTGTTTGAGCCCTTGTCCTGACCCCGCTCCTTCTTCTACCACTCTGTGCCGAAGCCTGACCACGATGAGCGCTACTTATCCCTTCCTCGGGGTCATCTACACTCTCAGCTATACTCCTAGAATCATCTGCTCCTAATCCTGATTCCTGTGGGCTACCTGGTCCCTGCCCAGCTGGTTCCAGTCCTCTAAAACAAGCTGACTGCAATTCCTGAGGGTCCAAGATACTATCTCCATCACTCTCTCTCCTTCCCAGCTTAAGACACCTCTGGCCTATGCTACAGGCATCACAGCAATGCTTTTTCGGCTTAGTATTTTTCTGATTTCTTTCTAATGCCAGCACAAGAGGGTCCTGGGGGGCTACATTAATTCCACAGCTTTTCTGCCACTCTGGTTTATTCCTTAACGTAAAAAACATGCCGGCATACATCACTTCATCCCACTTTTGCTCCCTACGGAGAAATAACAGAAGCTGTAAAATGGTATTGTAATTAATGCTCCCCTGTGGAGACCATTTTTCGCCATCATCTAAAGTATACAAAGGCCACCAATTCTGGCAATATTTTAAAAAGGTCTTTTTACTCAAATTACCCCCAGGAGTTCCTCCTAATTCCTTCCAATGACTCAACATACATCCTACGGGAGTCTTAGAATTTATCTCCTTACTTCCACCGATTCCCATTATGAAAGCAGGGAATTAGATCTGAAATATGCTAACAACCACAACTACTATATTCTACACAATATTCAACCACCAAACCCTAATATTGCTTTTCAACAAAGATTTCCTAGAATTACCAGCTTTATAACCAGCTTCTAAAATCACTAGTCCTTGTAACCAACTTGCACTAATACAAAGTCCACAAGATGTCACCCTTAGACCACAAATACACCTGGCTCTCACAACAAGCCCATATATTCACATAAATCCACAAGATACTGCTGTCAACCACGGAACACCCACTTTGATAACAAATCCATATACTCAAAACACAAAATCCAAACCAGATGTTAAAATTCTGGGCGTATTGAAAGAAACACTGGCCTATGAATCCTACAACAATAGTACCGGACGCACCTAGTTTCCTCTAGAGTTTGATTATTTTCACATCTAACGCAATACAAATTTAAAGTCCAACCTAACCTTATTTCTTGGGAGGATCTGGGTCCTAGAATATACTTAGAACAGTTGTTACATAGAGCACGCACATACAATGAACAATTGCAAAATGGACAGATCTTAATTCTGGGGTTTAAGTTATGTGGTAGATTCACAGTCAATTTCTCAGATCCCCTCCCCATACAGATTTAACAGGATGTTTCTATGATTGGTTTAGGGTGAACAGAGATTTCAGGAATTCAAAATTGCCAACAGCACAAAGCAAGAAAACAGAAAATTAGCAGAGCAATATAGCACACACAAGCTGCTATAACAATTACTATTTCCCAAGAGTACATAATAGATAACTTTAAAACATAGACAGAAGAACAACCAAAGGAAACGTAGGTGCTTTGTTTTCCTCGATGTAAACACTATTAGGCCAAGTACAGACAAAACCAGAACATACCAGCCCAGAGGGGTTATTCCCCAGGAAGAGCGTCCTCTCCCGTATTCCCCGCGAGAGACGGCGTCCCGTGTTCGACTTACGGGTATCCAATAACCAGAACCAGAATAAACAAAACCAGAAACCAGATATAAATACCTTTTATCAATAGGCAGTGTTCTTGTCCAGCCCCCGCAAGAGATCACCGAAGGAGGGAGCCCCTTTGGGTAGAAAGACTCACCCAAGGGCGCCCAGGGGGTCCTGTCCTCCGAGGGTCTCCGCAGCCGGGTGGAGAAGTTGTGCTGCTGCAGGTCGGCAAATGAATCCGAAAAACCATCCGAGGAACTGCTCAGAGACTTTGATCTTTTGAGCAGCAAAGGTATTTATTAGCAGCGTTGGGAGCAAGCCAACTATTGCTGGAAAAACTTGCTCACCGGCTCCTCAGAAAATCAACACTTTTATACAATTTTCTGATGTGATTAAATGCATATTCAAACAATTACAACATCTATAGGTACATATCAAAAATAGGCGGAGTATAGGCGGAGCTTGGGGCGGTGCTTCTCTTGGCACCCCATTTGGAGGGGTCGTTGCCATCTTCCTCCATGGGGCAAGGGCCTTCAACTCATCTTCCTCAGCTTGACCCTTCCCTCTTTCTACTGTTCTTGACCCGCTCACTGAAGCTCGGAAGAAGCCCTGGCTCCAGGCCTATTTCTCCTATTCAAATATCTACCTGATGCTGCTGTATTTCTAAGTTATTGTTTCTAGGCCTATTACATGTTCTCGTACTATTTTCTTAAGCTTTGGTGCAATAAGTAGAACAGAACGAGCACAGATCATTTTGAATGTTGATAACTTGTTTTCAGGCCCAAATTTCTTAGTTACGACTTTTGGGTCTAGCCTCCTGTATTACTTCAGGTGTAGTTGTTGGGACAGCCTGGGCACTTCTTGGGTAGCAAGACCTTTCTGTGGTGGCACCTTTTGCCTGGCAGGAATCATCATTTGGATTCAATTTTCCAGGAGGTGAGACAGGCAATTGCAGAGAAGGGCAGAGAAAAGGGAACAGCAGCTCTTTCCACCAGGAAAAAAAGTCTGGAAGCTTTGGTTTCAGGTGTAGTTGGGGCAGCCTGGGCACTTCTTGGGCAGCAAGACCTTTCTGTGTTGGCACCTTTTGTCTGGCAGGAATCTTCATTTGGATTCAATTTCTCAGGAGGTTGAACAGGCCATTGCAGAGCAGGGCTGAAAAAAGGGAACAGCAGCTCTTTCCACCAGGAAAAAAGGTCTGGAAGCTTTGGCTTTGACCTGCAGTTGTTGGGGCAGCCTGGGCACTTCTTGGGCAGAAAGAGGTTTCTGTGGTGGCACCTTTTGTGTGGTAGGAATCTTCATTTGCAGTAAATTTTTCAGGAGGTGGAACTGGCCATTGCAGAGCAGGGTTGAAAAAAATGGAACAGCAGCTCTTTCCACCAGGAAAAAAAGTCTGGAAGCTTTCGCTTGGAGCTGCAGTCGTTGGGGCAGCCTGGGCACTTCTTGGGCAGCAAGGCCTTTCTCTTTTGGCACCTTTTGTCTGGCAGGAATCTTCAATTGGATTCAATTTTCCAGGAGGTGGGACAGGCCATTACAGCGCGGGGCTGAAAAAAGGGAACAGCAGCTCTTTCCACCTGGAAAAACGTCTGGAAGCTTCGGCTTCAGGTGTAGTTGGGCAGTCTGGGCACTTCTTCGGCAGTAAGAGGTTTCTGTGGTGGCACCTTTTTTTCTGGTAGGAATCTTCAGTTGGATTCAATTTTTCAGGAGATTGGAAAGGCTATTGTAGAGCAGGGTTGAAAAAAGGGAAGAGCAGCCCTTTCCACCAGGAAAAAAAGTCTGGAAGCTTTGACTTGGAGCTGCAGTTGTTGGGGCAGCCTGGGCACTTCTTGGGCAGCAAGACCTTTCTGTGGTGGCACCTTTTGTCTGGCAGGAATCTTCAGTTGGATTCAGTTTTCCAGGAGGTGGGACAGGCCACTACAGCGTGGGGCTGAACAAAGGGAAAAGCAGCTCTTCCTACCAGGAAAAAAGTCTGGAAGCTTTGGCTTCAGGTGTAGTTTGGGCAGCCTGGGCACATCTTGGGCAGGAAGAGTTTTCTGTGGTGGCACCTTTTGTCTGGCAGGAATCTTCATTTGGATTCAATTTTCCAAGAGGTGGGACTGGACATTACAGCATGGGGCTGAAAAAAGGGAACAGCAGCCCTTTCCACCAGGAAAAAAAGTCTGGAAGCTTTGGCTTCAGGTGTAGTTTGGGCAGCCTGGGCACTTCTTGGGCAGTAAGAGTTTTCTGTGGTGGCACCTTTTTTTCTGGCAAGAATCTTCATTTGGAGTAAATTTTTCAGGAGGTGGGACAGGCCATTGCAGAGCAGGGATAAAAAAAAAAACAGCAGCTCTTTCCACCAGGAAAAAAAGTCTGGAAGCTTTGGCTTGGAGCTGCAGTTGTTGGGGCAGCCTGGGCACTTCTTGGACAGTAGGAGGTTTTTGTGTGGCACCTTTTGTCTGGCAGGAATCTTCAGTTGGATTCAATTTTCTAGGAGGTGGGAGAGGCCATTACAGCGCGGGGTTGAAAAAAGGGAACAGCAGCTCTTCCTACCAGGAAAAAAAGTCTGGAACCTTTGGCTTCAGGTGTAGTTGGGGCAGCCTGGGCATTTCTTGGGCAGCAAAGACCTTTCTGTGGTGGCACCTTTTGTCTGGCAGGAATCTTCATTTGGATTCAATTTCTCAGGAGGTTGAACAGGCCATTGCAGAGCAGGGCTGAAAAAAGGGAACAGCAGCTCTTTCCACCAGGAAAAAAGGTCTGGAAGCTTTGGGTTTGAGGTGCAGTTGTTGGGGCAGCCTGGGC